GCGGACGGGGGCAAGCGCGGAGAGGCCGATGGAAGCGACGAGGAGCTGTCGACAGCAAGTTCCCTTGGTCCTGGATCGTGGCACTCCCCTTCGTTTGTGTTTGTGAAATTGCATGGCTTGTTGTCCTGGAGGACGCTGATGTCCGAGATGTGGACACTGGAGGAAACGCTTCTCACTCCAAAGCCGAGGCATGGCCTGTGCCAAGCTGTTCCAGTGGGTTAGGCAGCTGCACAACGAACAGAAGTCCAAGTAGCAATCCACCATGTCGACGCAAAGAGGCAAACATGAGAGGCTCTTGCATGCGCAAGCAGAGCTGCGCCGTGAGCATGGATGCATCCAGGAAGCACCTGCCCGGTCAACGCCAAGCGAAGGAATTTTTAAGGTGAAGGCCGGGCGACTAAACCTCCTTCTTGGGGAGAGCTGTGCTTTTTGGGCCATGTCTTATACATTCTTTTTACCAGAGCGGTCCAGAGCCTGCGACCCTTTGCCCTCGGCTGAGAAGTGGCTTCTTGGGTTCACCAGCCCCGCACCAGGTTTGCTCCGGCAGCTTCGAATGAGGGCTAATTTTATCGCTAACGCGAGGCCGGAGGCAGCAGCGAAGCCCCCCCCCACCCCCCCTCCCCCCCCAAAAAAGCAGCAAAATTGGAGCCGACCGGTACGCCCCCCCCAAATCGCTCCACTGGAGGGGGTAGGGGGTGGGTTACTACTCTACTACAACCACTCAGGCTGTCTGGTGTTTTCTAGAGCCAATGCTGGCAATGTCGAGGTCAACCCACGGATCAAAACGCCTGGGGTCTCCGGCCTCGGCAGATTTGCTTGACAGGCCAGCCAAGCTGCCGAGCCCACGCCGGACGACGGAATCTTGCCAAGTGCTTCGGCAAGTTTCGGCAGAAATGAGTCTTCTTGGGGCATCGGGGCTGCGAGGCATCTACCTCAAGATACGAGGTTGTAGATACTATGGTGTTCCTCAAGATAGAGACCCAAACGCGAATAGGGTCTGCCGGCTGCCGCGTGAGGCAACTCGCGACTCTCCATTGGAGAGCTGGCGCCAACTGTTCCTGGCCTGATTTAGCTGAGCCATCACCAGCATTTCAGCATACTGTATACTGCTATCTCATGTCCAATGCACTGAGGAATCACAGCATGAAGAAACCTGTATGTGGAGCTGCATGTTTATGATTGCCTCGGATGGACGAGGCTGTGTCTGCCGTGGAGAACAACACTTTGCGCACAACTCCACAAGGCAGAAGAAAAGCAACAGACGTTGCGATGAATCAGGGCAGCACGGATGCACTGATTGAATACGTTCTGGATACATCCAGATATCCGAAGCTTGCAAGCTGGGTCGTTGTGTTTGACAAAGCCTGTTCGACTTTTGCTAGGACAAGCTTCCTTGTGAAGGCAGTGAAGTGCAACTCGTGCACCATGGCCACCCTTCCAGGTTCCGAGAACACATACCAGGGCAGCTCCGTCGAGAGCGAGGACCTTTCCCTCGGCGACGAGGCGAGCGACGAGTGCTGAGTCAGTGACGTCCTCTGACCTTCTGACTCGAGCTTTCTGCAGGAGGACCTGGACCTGGATTGGCCAGAGGCCGAAGAGAAGGTCAAGAGCCGACAGGACCGGTGTCACGGTGCCATGCTGCATCAATCTTTGCCGTTTAATGTAAAGGAGGCTAGCTTCAGCCCTGCCCTTGCCAAGATGATGACATGCATCTCTTATCGTGCTGGGGCAACATGCTGAGACCCATTCTTTGTATCATGCAATTCTGAGTAGTCTCTCTCCAAATTCTGAGTGAATGATGTTCGATTGCGCATTCATGTTCAGGAGGCCAAGCACGTGACCAGCAGTGCAAAAACGAAGCCAGGTGCTACGCCTGGACATGCAGCGGTCGGTGTAAGCTCTGCGTGTGGTTCGCGGATTCCTTTCGAAGGTTCTCGGCACGGGCAAGATGCGACCATCGAGATCCAGGAGGTGGCCTAACTGACCCTTGCTGTAAGACTGTCCTTGGCTGGAGTGTCGACGGCAACAGCCTTGCTCGGTAGCTGAGGCGAGCCAAAGTGCGACCCCGGACCCAGTCCGGACAGAGGACTTGTCCGCGCGAGCTTTCGAGGCCTCGGAACCGGCTTGAAGCAAGGCTTCTGTGAAATGATACAAGTCGCATGCACTTGTAGCATGTGGTGGCAGGGCCAAGGTTTCTGTCTGACACCGCGCTTAGATAGATGCTGCAGGAGACTGAGCACAGGCTGAGGGAGGACATCGAGTCACTCAGGAAGCTTGAGGAGGATTCCTTGGCTTGTTCGATTAGTCGTTTCCTTGTGAGCGCGCGCTAGTCGGATTGCCATTCAGCTAAGTTGCCTATAAGGACTATGTGCGGAGCCGGGCTTTGTAATACTTCCGTTGGATATTATTACTACAACCTACTTGATTACTTGATTGGTGCGTCGAACTGATGTCGAACATACGTTGGACTTAGGGCTTCGGTTGAACTCACAAAATTGGCATCTGTTGTAGTTTACACAACTGCGCGCGCAGTCTTCCATTTTTCACTGTTCGTAGTGCTTGATCTCAGAACAAGTGGTTGCCTCGTTTCCTTGCGCTTTACTTGGCTAGCTTGGGTCGTGCAGCTCATAGCCGCTTGCGTCCTTTCTTTGTGGTCTTACCTGAAAAACACAGCCGGCGATTTCCCGCGATATCGGCCGAACAGGCCTCAGGGAGCATGCCCGGAATGTCAGCACTATGTCCGTGCGGTCACTAGAGGGCTGCATCTTCAATGTAATGTAAGATGTAGTCGGGTGTCCGTGCGGTGTCTGCCGACAGAGTTGGAAAGGATGGAAGGTCAGGTTCTTGTTGTGCAAAGAAAGCAAAAAAGCAGGATAATAAACGCCACATCCACTAGTCCAACGCAACTCAAGTAACGCCCAAGCGAATCACCAGGAAAGCACCGTCCTGGTAGGATGCATGTACACGCAGCAGCCCAGCAGCGCCTCCAGTTCCATAAGAAGCTGCACGAAGCACTGGGAGGCCTAGGCCCATCATATGTGGGCTTGACAGGTTGCTGGCAATGCGATGACTAGTGACTACTGCCTTTTTCGGGGTGAGCTCTTTCAGCCCTTTCGGCGGTGCATTGCTCGATAGGCACAGAGGTTCCACAGGGACGGGGACCCTGCTCAGGAGCTTCAGCTTCGGGGCCCGCCGCTTGCCAGCAGTGCCGGTCGTGTGTAGCAGTGTAGCCGCTGATAGACTGGGCTTCCACAATCATATCTACCCATGGCATGCAAGGCCACAGCTGATGCTTTAAGTGATGCCACTGTGCACAGGAAGGGAACTTCCCAACCGAAGCAAACGAAAGCTCAGAAGGCTGGTGTCGAAGCGTTGCGGCACGCCTCACAGCAACTTAGCCTTCTTTGGCATTTCATGCTCATCGAGTTTGTTCGCCAGTGTGTGAACGCGAGGGAAAGCGCATTTGCCACACTGTGCTTCTGCGGCAAGCAGCTGCTGTGCAGGCCGAAGGCAGCGCTGCATCTCACAAGCGAAGGCAGTTCAGTCGCCCTTGCTCTTCTGGGGTCTGCCGGGTCCTGTGACAGAGGAAGGGCCCTGCAGCTGCAGCTGTCCAGCAGGTTGGGAAGGAAACTTGGCAAAATCTTGCGTTCGAAGCATGCCAGTGCCAGGCCGTGTCTCTGCTGGAGATCGGTTCGGCTCCAGCGAGCGTGGAGGTTTAAAGTCGGAAATGCTGGCGTCACACAGTTCTCCAACATTCTCCAACGTTGTCAGGAGCTTCAAACATTGCAGATTGAGCAGCTTGCTGCCGGGCAGCGTGAAGTGGCCATGAAGGCTGCTCAGGACTGTGCTGCTGCGGTCACGGCAGAAGGGAGCTAGCGATGCCGAATAAGACCACCAGAATTGGAGAGTTGGGCAAGCAATCATTCATCCCCTCGCGGCGTTGACATTTGTGGGAAACCAAAGTTTAAAGCTGTTTTCTTCCAGGTTTCGGGACATGACAGCGCCCCAAAGCTTAATCATGACGGCAGATTGCAGTACTTGCAATACGTACACACATGGTCAGAATAAGCTTGGAGCACTGTTGACCAGGCGGAGCGTGAAACCCGTTTCTACTCAGTTGCTACATCGCAGTGAGACACATCACTGCATGGAGGAAGTTGCTGATAGCTCTGCATCTCCGATGACGGCAGAGCAACTGGACAGAACGAGGACGCTGACGTTTCTGGGCAGAATGCCCTCTTCATGAGCCCATACAGGCAGCAGTGATGCAGGGTTGCCTATCAGCGGCATAGTATCATGTACGTCAGGAGGGCGGCACTTCAGTCTGTTGAGCATGCTGTTGCTGAGCAGGCCATGTGCGCACCACCGCTTTGAGTTGCACAGTGGCCTGATGTGGCCTCCTTACTTCCATGCCCGCAGGTGAATGCACAGGAAAGGCAGCAGACTGCAAAGGCCGCGCACGTTGTGGCTGCATCTTCCGCCTCCCGTTGTCAGCAGCAGGCAGTGGGTGCTATGTCCGAGCTCTTTGCAGGCGTACAATCTGACCGCAAGGCTGTGATGCGCAAACATGTGCAATTAATCCAGTGATCCAGCACTACAGCTTACAAAGATGCATGAGGCAATAGCTTCGAAGATGGTGAAGCGGCTGCAAGCTGGGCTCTCGAAAATGCTAGCAGCTGCTAGCAGCCGTTGGCTTCTGCTTGGTGGGTCCGCGTTCTTGCGAGTCCAAGGCGGACCTAACAGAGACCAAAGAGCAAGCTCAAAAAGATCACCAGGCACGTAATTATCAGCCTCTATTCTGCAGAGTCCATGCATCTTGCCTCCACGTTGTGCGAAGATCCTACCAACATGAACAGACATGTTGAACCCGAAATGACATGGGTACGACATGCAAAACACCAGCGCCTTGCTAAGTGGAATCGAATTCATGCCAAAACGAGACGTGAAGCTGCTGCTTTTCAAGACATTAAAGGCATCCTAGCGAAGATCAGAGGTAACAAAAGCATCTAATTAATGCAGAAGTCCACCGCAACGTCTAGTTGCTCCAGCTGCGTCGCACAGCTTTGTAGCCTACACCTCTTCGTGCCGAATTGGTTCGACAAGTAGAGCGCCATGCTGTTCTGCAAAACGTTGCAGCATGCATTGGAATGTGCCAACGCTGGACCGTGATCCATTGTAGACTGTGCCGGCTGCCATCAAACTGAGCTTAGCAAAAGCTTTACTAGGTGGAGGAGCAAAAGGTGAGTGTGCTTCTGGAGCGACTGGACCACCTGCGCCTTGCTTGATGTCAGATCACGAGGATGTGTGCAGCTACAGTAGACCGAGGAATGATGCAGTACGTATACAGCTTGAAATGTGTAGCGCTGCTCGCACGAGTAGAAATTGTGACTAGGGGCTTGAAGCACAGGCCACCTCCACCTGCTTGAATCGCCTCGCGGATCCGCCTTTCCTGTCGTAAAGATTCATTTCTAGGGAATTCCGGGCGGAATTGCATGAGGGGTCGACAGATGTTCTGCTTCAGATAGAGGCATGACATATAGCAGCATTTTCAAAGCATCCTGTAGCTCTAGCAAAACTAGTTATGCATGCAGGCACACAGTGAAGAAACTGCTGGCATGATAATCCCCTGAGCGATCTGAGGCGCAGCCAGCCAGAACACTCCAATGAGGACAAGTTACTCATCTCCCGGGCGAGGCAAATCCTGGAGCTCAAGGCATCGGCCATGCGATGCCGTCCGCTTTGCTCGCAGCCTGCTGCTTGTTTTGCTCTGTCTTTGTTTATTTAAAATCAGTAACAGCCACTGGCTCTCATGGTAGGGACAGCAGCACGGAACTTCACGAGCGCAGGTTGACAAGACATCTGCCTCGTTAGCTGGCTGGCTGGTGTCCTCTGCAGGCGCAGGTGCAGTGGGACAACCAGCGCCTTTCAAAGGAGAAGGAGGAGCATTCGAGACAGCAGAGAATCGGAGAAAGGTCATGTCAGCACTGAGACCAGCGAGCTCCGAGTCGTACTGTACCAATTCCGACAAGTGCATTGAAGAGGACGAGCTGGCCCTTAAAGTCCAAATCAAGCAGTTGGAGGACTGCTGTGAGCTCTGTGCATGCGGGCACTGGGACTTCGAGTCACTAATGCAGCCGAGCGCCCCCAGAGTACATGCAGTGTGTGTCAGTCATGTATGTCAGCCTTTGGATTGTCATAATATCGGCTAGTCATCAAGAGAGCCAGGGTCTAGCGGTGTTGGTGTTGGTTGTGGTGGCGGCCATGGTGGGCTGGTTCGAAGCTGAAAGCGGGCACTCAAGGAAAAGCTTCGGCGGCAACGCCACGCCTCTCTCCGCGAGGATGGGAACCTTTCAAGACTGTCCGGTCACCAATAAGCGCGCGATCAGTGGAAGGCAGCGAGAAGAAAGCCTTTCCACAATAGAGCCTCTGCAAGAAGAATTGCAACTCGACGGAGCGCGATCATGCCTTGTTTTGTCTTGGCATTGCATGCCGCCTTCGGTCATACAAGTAGCCGTGAATTCCCAGGCCGTGGATGTAGACCACAGCGGTCGCACTCTCTCCGTCGAGCGTGCTGATCCATACTGAGCATCGCACCGATGTGAGCAATTTAGTCTGCTTGGGCTTGTCTGGAGAGATTTGTACTCGTAGCTTTGTGGAGGAATGCCGGTCTGAGTTTCGCTCAAGGCTGCCCAGCACAGCTCAACGTTTGAATGTGTTGACACGTCTTGAGTGTCTGTCAACATCGGACAGCAGAGCGAAGCATAGCCTGGAGTGGTGTCTCACAGAACGAGGTTGCACGGGCCAGGAAGACAAAACAAGGCTGCGAAGCTGCTCGCGTGTCCGAAAATGAAAGCGGACAACAGCCGGCTCCGATCATTGGCGAGAGATCGATGACCACACTGGCAGCCAGCGTAGTTTTCTGAGTTTCAGCACGGCAGCTGCATCTAGATCGTCTAGCCGGAGACTGGTGCTTCAATCGTAGTCGTGCTTGTCAGTTCGATGTAAACAGTCAACGGCATCTTCCCTCTTAACTTAACCTCTCCGTCTCAATCTCGGCCTTTGGCCGCAACGGCATTGGGCAAAGCTGGTGCAGTTCTCAGCCAGGTGTTTTCGGAACTTGTTCACCCAGAGAAGTCTCGGCTGTGAGTCGGAGGCTGCATGGAGTTCTGCGCTGACACGGATAACACAGAGCCGGATGTCTCGTTCCGGGCCAAGACCAACGTCCATTGACGTGGGAGATCTCGTCTAAGTGTGTCCCAAATTCAAAACCGGCTAAGGCTGGATTCGCTTCGAAGACACTTGAGGCGAGGCTTGGACCCCTCGGACCCGCTGGAGTTTCAGGAAGGGGCACGGACCAGGGGGAGGGACAACAAGAAGGGCACGCCAGATCTTGAGACCTGCCTCGAATCGAGGCGGCAGGTTCGACTGTCCAGGATACGAACATCCTGCAAGCTTTAAGGCTTGTACTGCAACCACGCATGCTGGTTGTTGCAGCTTGTTGAGGTTCGAGCAACTGAAGCAAAAAGGCTTGCCCGCGGTGCTGGCACGCAAAGCTGAGCAGTTCCGCTCCGAGTTTCCCTCAGAATAGCTAGAGCCCACCTTGCTGCCTGCATGGTAGCGGAGCCCCTCTGAAGTGGGGGGTTCGACACGATCCAGGGACTTCAGTGACGAGGCTCTTCACCGCAAGGCTGTGAAGAGATGTCAGGCAGCGAGGGTGCGATTTCTCGCACCAAGGAAGGGACGCCGATATGGAATGGGGATCCTGCGAGCTATGTGGAGTACGCGGAGGCCGCAAGGCTCTTTGAGCAGTCGCAGGAGCCCTACAAGCGATCAATGACAGGGCCAAAGCTTGCAGCCGAGCTCAGTGGACCCGCTCGGAGATTGATCATCGGCCAGGCGCCCAACTGGCTCAGCTTTCCAGGAGGCACAGAGCGCCTGCTGGAACATTTACGGCAGGGGCTGGGGAAGCCCCGACTGTCTGAGCTGAGCGACCATTTGGGCAAGCTGTTCAAGGGAACGCGCCGCAGGAGCGGCGAAACCATCAACGAGTACCTGACGAAGAAGAGCGAGTGCTATATGAGGGCCCAGCAGGCGATGATGCGCCTCCTCTCCGCGAAGACGACGCCAGCCGGACCACGAGGATATTCAGGCTACCGCCACTACGAGCAGCACCAGTGGAGCCGAAGGACATCCATGGACTCAACGGCGGACGATGGCCAAGCCGCATCCCAGACCGAGACGACAGCAGCGGAGACCGAAGTGGCTTCTGCTGAGGAGCCCTCAGCGTGGAGGGCCAGTGAATGGTGGCAACGATCCTCGTGGGAGACAGGCCCCTACTATGGTTCCTCATGGTCGTGGTATGGACAGCCTTGGCAAGGAGCCTATGGATGGGGCCAGCAGGACTACACCTGGGAGGCGCCGCCACCGGTGGAACTCCCAGAACTTCTTCCGGATGTCGTTCAAGGCTGGATGTTGCTCCAGGACGCCAATCTGGATCACCAGGAACGCAACCTGGTGCAGACGGCGGCCGGGGGAGATTTTTCCGTGGCCAGAATCTCACAGGAACTCCGAGCTCACTTTCCGGAAACCGATCTCAAGCGCCGTGATGGGCAGCGGAAGCACACGAGCTACATGGGCGAGATGGACGAGGACTATGAGGAGACCGTGGAGGAACACGAGGGCTTCTCGGCCGAGGACGCCTTCAACGAGGAGGGCTTGATCCTGTGGAATGACATCACGAATGAGATGCATGAGGCCATGGCCGCCATCCAGGGCGCACGCAGGACGCTTCGAGAGGCCAGGGGACGACAACACAGTCTAAAGCTGTCTCGCCAGTACTACAAGAGCGCACCCGGCCGAAGCAGTGGCAACAGGGCAACCGGAAGTGCCGGAGCCACGCCCGACAAGCGAGATGAGAAGATGACATGCCTCAAGTGCGGGCGGGTGGGCCACAGGGCTGCGAACTGTCCGGACCGGGACAAAGCAGCCCACGCCGCACAGGAGGAAGCCCCATTCGTGTGCTTCGTGGAGGAGAAGTTCGAGGACGCCTGGGCCGTGGAGATGACTGAGGAAACGATCGATGCGGAAGCCTGGGCGGCGGAGGTGACTACGGCACAGGCTGTTGAGCAGGGCAAGTGTGTGATCGACCCAGGGGCAACCCGCACTTTGGGCTCGGTGAGCGCTGTGGAGAAGATCATGCAGCTCAAGGCCGCACGCGAAGGGAGCACAGGCATTTTGGAGGTGGATAACATGAACAGGCCTACGTTCGGCTTCGGGAACTCCTCCAGGGACCAGTGCCTTTCCACCATCAAGCTGGCATTGCAGGCGAATGGCAGGCCCGGAAGCCTGCAGATACATACGCTGGACCGTGGAACAGGCCCAGTGCTTCTCTCCATCGACACTCTCAGGCAGTTGGGAGCTGTGATCGACTTCACCTCCGATTACATGGTTCTCCGGAACATCGACGCGAACCGTATGATTCCTCTAGAGCGCTCGGCCACGGGACACCAACTCTTGTCCCTGACCCAGGACTTGTACAGCCAGTCCTTGCCTACCAAGGGGCCAGTGCCTTCGCTGAGCGAGTTTTTGATGCCCTCCAACCAGGAGTAGGGACAGCACCTCCCCCGAGCAAAACCTGTGGCGAAAGGGGAGGACCGAGTGTATAGTGCAGGGCTAGGGAACCAGAACGGGGAAGTGAGTAGCACATCTGCCGTTCGCTCATTTGTAGATCACTCCGGGAAGGAAACTTCGAGTGTGTGTAGTGTTAATTCGAGTCAGGAGAGTAGGAATTTTTCCATCAGACAGACGTTGCCGAACATGAACGACAAACCACGTCGTCCACCTGGTGAGCCAGCCTCAAGCCGAGACTACGCCCTCCGTAGCAAACCACCAGAACCTCATGGCAGCCACTCGCGAGAGCCTTCGAGCGCAGTTGCTGGAGATGGGCGAGCGTCCGCCTACCAGGTGGACCAAGGCCGAGCTGCAGCAGAGGGTGGAGGAGCTCACCGGGATCAACCCAACGATTCGGACCAAGAACAACGAGGTCAGCGAGTACCGCCGCCTGATCACCGAGATGAACGCGGCAGCCAAGAAGAAGGCGAATCTCCAGGCCTTCTGTCGCGACCGCCTGCGGATGTCACAGATCGACAACTACACCATAGCTCAGATGGTGCGTGCAGCGACGCAGGAGATCTACCACCGCAGCAAACCGGATCCCAGCGACATGGTGGGATTCGGGAAGTACGCAGCTCTCACCTACGCCGAGCTCAAGGAGCAGCAACCGGCCTACTGCAGTTGGGTCAAGCGTACAGCCGAGGAAGGCGAAGCGGATCCCCGCCTGATTCGCCTGGCGGGATGGTTGGACAACCAGCCAGATCGAGTTCTTCAAGCTGTGGAGAAGTCCAAGCAGCGGGCGGCCAGCAGTGCTGCCTCCTCTTCCGCGACCACAACCCGGACGCCAATGCCGAGCACCACCCAGAAGTGGAGCGGACGCCGCAGCGTCGGCTACCCCCAGGCAGCCGAGGAGTCCGAGGACAAGCTCGACAAGCTCCAGGAGATGATGCTGAAGATGCAGGAGGAGATTCGCGAGCTGAAGACAGAGCCGGCTCGCAAGAAGAAGGGCATCGAGAGCGATTCGGAGATGAGCGATCAGAGCTTCTCGATGGTGCGCAGCCCCAACAAGAGCTGAGCACAGACGGCGAGGAGGCAGGGACACCACCCAGTGCTTCCCAGAGGTTGGCCCAGAAATTGAGTCTCGGCAAGGCTCTCAGACTGGAGCGAGCCTCATATGAGGTGGTGCCACAGATTTTCGAAGGGCTGGCCCAGACCAGTCGTACAGTTCTCATGGAGGTAGCCTGTCACCCCGACAGCCTGCTAGCCTCCACTGTTCAGTCGTTGGCCAACAATCCAGCCGCGGCCTCCAGATGTGGGCAGTGGAATGCCTGCGACCTGGCAACCGCAGAGGGAGTGCGCTTGGTGCTAAAAAGAGTAGCTTTGGAGAAGCCTCGACACGTGTGGATCAGTCCCCCGGGGGGTGCCTTCAGCCCCCTGCAGAGAAGCAATCAGCGCGGTGAAGAGCAGCGTAGGGAACTGAAAGCCAAGCGTCAAGAAGCTATAGACATGTACAAGGGTTGTGTGTCAGTGGCGACTGCTTGCTTGCAAGAAGGGATACATGTGAGCTGGGAGTGGCCCGAGCATAGTGATGCATGGCGTTTGCCCTTCATGCGTCGGTTTCGGGAACAGTTTGGATTGCATGAGGCTGTGACTAAAGGGTGCCGCGTAAATGCACGACAGCTCTCGACGCAGCAGCTGCTCAGCAAGGGTTGGCGCATATGGACGTCGTGTGCTAGGCTTGCTGAAGTGATGCACCTCCCATGTCGTTGTGGCAAAGGATACCAGCACGGACAGTGTGTAGGCCCTGAAGCTCTCCGAAGTGAAAGGTACACCTACGAGTTTGCTAAACGGGTTGGTGGGGTGTTCCTTCAGGAATTGAGTCACCAGCAAGTGCTTGAAGAGAGCAGTGGGAAGACGAGGCTTCCCGAAGGATTTGGCGACGGCAGCAGATGCATGTGTCAACTGTTTGGAGA